TAAGTTTTTCTCCAAGTGTACAAGAAAAAAATTATGGTGGGAATTTCCACACCAGCAAATGACACATTCATTCAATTCGTCGTCATAGTTGACTTCCAACGCCAATCAATTAGCGGGGTAATAAATTCTCATCTAAATACTTAACCCAAATGAGAGAACATCGACTTGAAGTGTCTCAAACGGCGATCTTCAGATGACATTAAGGACTATTAGGGAAAACAAAACACAACAAGGCACCACTTCAAAAACATGCCACTTGAGTTTCAATGTTCCCACAAAAGTGATTTACCAGACCAAGTAGGGTTTTGTGCAACGAGGGGTGGGGGTGTTTCTCTAATCCTGCTAAGTGCCCACAAAACATTGGGCCCACCCCAAATCGAATTGACTTGTAAGCGTCATAAAAGAAAAGTGCATCGTCCCCATAGCAGTAGTTGGAACATAAACCAGAAGAAACTGGAACAAAGTGCTGGAAACAAATGAAAACAAAACATTAAACACTTCAACGAGGGACTCAGAAAGAAAACACCCAAAGGCGGCCAGGCAAAGTGGGGCAAGGAAGTGTAAGAAGCTATGCCACATAATGACTGTGTTAATTGCTTTGCAGCCATAAAAACAACAACATATGCATATTTCAATGAGAGCTAGACAACAACAAATTAGTAGTGGTTTCTGCACCAGCAATAGTTGGCGACTTCTTATGCTTGGTTGGTTCATGGTTGTTCGTTCATTCATTCATGCCCTATCGTCACCACCACCAAGAGTCTGTCCTGCAGTCCATTTGTCTCCCTATCTGTCTGCCTGCCTGCCAATTTCTTGTATCTTTGTTCTAATGTTTGTTTAATGTTATTTCTCCCATGCCATTGTTGTTGTCAGTATTGATTGGCTTTTCCGAATGCCATCCACCCTGTCAAGAGGCGGCAATTGTGGCTGGGCCTCCGATTGATTGTTTTGCATAGGCACCAATTGTTCCACCGGCAATTGTGCTGCGCTGTCTTCTTTGTGCTTCATTGCACAAATAAACGCAGCAGATTGTTGTTGAGCCTCTAAATAGTGATTCCACACTTTGTGGTGTATTTTCATAGCCTAAGACTCCTGTTCTGCGGCTGTCGATGCAAGTGCGTATGTATATTCATTCATCACAACAATAATATTATTTTTCCGGTGGAATATATCTTGTTTTATTTAGGGTGCAGTTAGGGTTTAGGTGAAAGTGAAAATATATGGAAAATTGAAGTATCAGTCGGATGTGCCTACAGATGTATACCATCAGCCAAAGTTCGATTATTTAAATATAAATATTGGTATGGGCAAAATTAGAAGAAAATCGAACATTTATATCCAATTTTATGCGAAATCATAAATTCCATATTCATCTCAGGTTTTTGGTTAAGAGAAATATTTAGAGATAGGGAGTTGTAAAGAATTGTCGACTTGTGATTCTTTGTGGGCGAGGTACCAGAAGGGGTTCGCACATATATATCATCTTTACAACAGATCCTGCGTTAGCAAAAATATTTGGATGTGTGAAATTTGAAGAGAGTTGAATGCTTATTTCGTTTTCTTTGACCCTATGTGGAGGAGGTGCCGCAAAAAATGGTCTGATCTTTACAATCTTTATAACAGATCTTGTGTTGATGGAAATATTGAGGTTGGTACACCTCTGAATGGAAACAGATGTTTTATGAGCTTCATGGATGCTTAAATTTTTGAACCTTTGTGGGGTATGTACCAGAAAGAGTGGATAGATATATTCCATCTTCACACCAGATCTTGGGTTAATAAAAATATTGTGATGTGTGTAATTTGAAGAGAATCAATTGCTTATTTTGGATCTTATGATATTTTTTTATTCAAAACTTTGATCCTTTGTGAGGAGGTACCACAAGGACTGGTCCGATCTCTACCATCTTTATAACAGATCTGTCTGTTGATAGAAATATTGAGATGTTCCAAGTCTGAATGGAATCGGATGTTAGTTTCGTGTTTTGTGAGCTTCATGAATATTCGAAATTTTTACCCTTTGTGGGGGAGGTACCAGAAGGAGTGGATCTTTATATTCCATCTTTACAGTAGATCTTGAATTAATAAAAACATTGTGATGTGTTTAATTTGAAGACAATCGGACACCTACATCACATTTTATACGAGTTATAATTATTAAAAATTTTGAACCTTTATGGGGGATGTACTGGATGGAGTGGACCGAAATTGTCCATCTTCGCACCTGCTGTAGCACTGATGGAAATATTAGGATTTGCAAAGTGGGAGCAAAATCGAATTTTCCTTTCTTTTTCTGTGCAGAAAATATATTTTTTGCAAATTTCGACCTTTTGTGGGGGAGGTACTTGATGGAGTGAACCGATATTGGCCATTTTTGCACCTGCCCTTGCGCTGTTGCAAATATTAGGTTTTGCAAAGATGGGGGCAAAATCGGATCATCCTTTCTCTTTCTGTGCAAAAAAAATATATTTTTTTGGAAAATTTCGACCTTTTGTGGGGGAGGTACCAGAAGGAGTGGACCGGTGAATTCCACCTTCACACCAGACCTTGAGTTAATAAAATGTGAGTTAATAAAAATTACTTCACATTTTATAAGAGTTGTTATTATTCAAAATTTTGAACCTTTTTGGGGAGGCACTGGATGGAGTGGACCGAAATTGTCTATTTTCGCACCTGATGTAGCACTGATGGAAATATTAGGATTTGCAAAGTGGGAGCAAAATCGGATTATCCTTTCTCTTTTTGTGCAGTTAATTATTTTCTTCAAAAATTTTGACATTTTGTGGGAAGCTACCAGGAGGAGTTGACCGATATTGTCCATCTCCGAACTCGACCTAAGTTTGACAATAATATTACGATGCAACAAGTTTGGATCAAATCGGATACTCCCTTCGAGAGTTATCGTGCGCATCAGCCAGACAGGCCTGAATGTCCTGCAACAAATTTGGTCCAAAGAGACCTGGGGTCTACATCTGTTATTTCGATGAGGCACGCTTTGGCGATATCAAATAAAATATACCCTTCCTAGCCATATAACTGAGGGTATAAAAATCACCGCTTATTTTTCAAAAGAACCTCAGAGAGGTCTTCCAAAAAATCTTTAAAATTCTCAGAAAAAAAAATCCCATAAGCCTATTCTACAGCTATTTCGCAGAGAGAAAATATTCTGATAGAATCCCCAATTATAGATCATCTGTTCCCTGAAGAAATACTATCTAAAAGTTGTCTGGTATAGTTCTGCTTGTCCTTGATATAATATTATTTAAAACAGTGTCTATTTTCGCTTATGTTCTTATATAACCAACTTTTGGTGTTCTGAGAGTCATTAAACCATAGACAAATTAAGGTATAGACTAAAAAGTTTTAAAATTTACCCCTTCCGGCAGATGTCACTATGGTTGATCTTGGGCCAGTAAAGTCACTCAGGGCTAGTGAAGTCACTCGACTTCGAAAACAATTTTTTAATTTTTCTGTTATTTATGTTTTATATTTTTATATTTCACGACATAGTTGGGTAATGTAAATGTAAACAAAGTGATTGATAGTTTTTAATTGATAAATAGTAATAAATCATAAAAATATTCAATATTTTGTATTTTGAGAGAATTGAGTGAATACACTTTTGGTCTCTCACAGCATGAACGACATCTATTGAAGCACTTTTTTCGAAGATAACAGATGAGAAAACTTTTTAGTCTATACATTTATTTGTCTATGATTAAACTCTAAAACTAAACAAATACTCTCTCTGAGAGTCACAAATACATTCTCTGAGAGCTGTTTAGAAATATTCTTTAACAGTCGTAGGGGATTGCTCTGAGAGTAAATCCACGATTATTACTTAAAAAGACCTTAAAAATATAATTTAAAAATGTATGATTATTGTTTAACAAATCCTAAGGAAATCTTAAAAAATATATTTTTTCAATTTAGAAATATTTTCAAAAAATTCACAATCAGTTCCTTTGAAATCCATGATGTTCTTCAAAAAATTAACCAACTGTTCTATATTAGTCTCTTCAAAAAAACATATTATTGCTCTAAAAGTCCTTGGACGAATATTTTCAAAAATCTGCATTATAGCTCGGCTGGTCCTTCTAACAACTCATTATTATTGCTCTTAAAGTCCTTCAAAAATCATAATTAAGTTCTAATAATTCTTCAAAGAAATATTGTGAAAAATAAAAGATTAATATCTGAGATTTGTTGTTATTGTTATTAAATCTGGGTTCTTCCCCCAATTGGACGAGAAAATATTTTCGACCCTCAAGCAATGCTGATAAGGGGTATACTTTCTATCTCTAAGCTATAAATAATTTTATTTGATAATAATTATAAAAATACGATGAATAGGTGGGAATGACCGGAACTTGAAGATAATTATGTGTTTTCAGGTTTATATTGTAAACAGCAAGTTCCTAATCAGTCATCGGTAAATTTATGAATCATTTTTTCATTTCGTTTTCAAGACAAAATGTTTGCTGAGTACCCCACATCAGCTCCTATCACTTTGTTATTCATTTAGGTATTTAATTTTATTTTTTTATTGGGTTTTTAAGGTATTTCTTAAATTAAATCTTAAAATTGGGATTTACGTTTATCTAAAACTTTTAAATATTTTTAATTCCTAAAATTGATAGTAGTTTGAGTTTGAACTTTAAAAGAAATACCAGCAATGGTTTGATAATCTTTAAAAAAAATGTTGTGAAATAATTCCCTGATTTTGCATCAAGAGACCTTTAAATCTATCTTCAAACCTCGATTTTTTTTTCTTAAAAAATCACAGATTTAATTTTTTAGAAAAAATATCGCAATTACTGCATTTTAAACTTTTTTCAAAAATTAAGTTAGTTTTTTAAAAAATTTCCTTATCCTTCAAAAATTTTGTTTTTGCTCTGAGAGCTTCTCAAGTGCTGAAATTTGAATAATTTTTTCTATAATAATTATTTTTTATATTTATTGTTGTATTAATTTCCATCCTCGCACCCCTTTTTTTACAGATCAACACCAATGGCATATTGACATTTAATATCGAATTCCCAGAATACATCAATCAACCCTTCCCCTTTGAGTATCCCTCAATAGCTGGGTTCTATTCGAATGTGGATACGACGGATGCCAATGAGACGACATTGATTTCGATCTTCAGCTCTCAGGATCCCGAGCAATTGCAAAAAGTCAGTGAATTGGTGCGTTATGCCTACAATGAGAAAACCGATTTTGAGGCTACCGATTTGATTGTGGCCACATGGAAGAATGTGGGTTATTATGAGGGCAAGAAGGATTTGCTCAATACTTTCCAGGTAAAATGATAAAATTGAGAATTTTAAAAGCTCTTGTTAAAATGTATTTTCTTCTTAGATTGCTCTCATTGTCGATGACGAGGACACTTTTGTGCAGTTTGTTTATCCCGAAGGTGGCTTGAATTGGTTGCAGGCTGAAAATGGTCCCCTGGGTTTGCCCGACATTAGGGCTCAAGCTGGTTTTGTGGCCGAAGATGGTCGTTTCTTTAATTTGGAGGGATCTGGCACCGAAAATGTAAGTTCGAGAGAGAGAGAGTGAGAGAGAGAAAGGGAGAGAGAATGAAATATCACTCCAATTTTATACTCAATTTCCCTTTTGTATTTCAGGCCCGTTTCTTGGCCGACAAATCCAATGTGGGAATTGCCGGCGTATGGCTCTACCGTGCAGGTCCTGTGGACTATGAACAAAATGTCGAGGCGCCCACCAATGAAGAAACCTTTACCGAATCTCCCACCGTGGCCCAAACCTGTGAGGAGGCTGGCCAACGTGTTTGCAACAAGAATGCCATGTGTGTCGACAAGGAAGAGGGTTATTGTTGTCTCTGCAACTCCGGTTATTATGGCAATGGTGCCGTATGCATCAAGGATGATTTACCTGTTCGCGTCACTGGTTCCCTTTCGGGAGAACTTAATGGGGAAATGATTGGTGATGGCTCCAAATTGCAGTCGTATGTTGTGACAGCCGATGGCCGGAGTTATACTGCCGTTACACCCATCACCACGGAGTTGGGTTCGAATCTACGTTTGGCCCTACCCCTGGTCACCTCCATTGGTTGGTTATTTGCCAAGCCATTGAACAACACCCTAAACGGCTATCAATTGACTGGTGGTGAATTTGTCCACACCTCCAAGTTGAGTTTTGAGACCGGAGAAGTTTTGCTTATCAATCAAACCTATGAGGGCCTCAACTATTGGGACCAATTGTCGCTGAAAATCGATTTACATGGTCAAGTGCCCAAATTGAATCACAATCTAAAACTGCACATGGCTGAATTTACGGAAGAATATGAATTTGTTTCGGCCAATGAATTGCATTCCATTCAGGGTCATGTCATCGAAGTGCCCGAAGAGAATCGTGTAATCAACTTCCAATTGGAACAGAACATTTACTTTTCACGTTGTGTGGCTGATGAAGAGGCCAAGCATGCCATGGTCGGGCAGACATATTTCCAAAAGATTTCGAAAATCATGTTGGATTACTTCGAGAGGGATCAGGCTTTGCGTACCAGTATCTTGACCGCAGCTGGAGTTAGTGCCGTTTCCAATGCCTGCACGGATGGCACTGCCATCTGTGGTGAGAATATGGTCTGCATTCCCTATGATGATACCTATCGCTGTGATTGTATCCATGGCTATGCTCCACAAGTCAATGAAGCTGGTCTGGAGGTTTGTGTGGATATCGATGAATGTGCCCTGGGTACTCATGTCTGTGATGATCATGCCTTGTGCTCGAACAATGATGGAGGTTTTACTTGTGTGTGCCTTGAAGGTTATGAGGGTAATGGCTATCGTTGCTTGATTAATGGCACAGTGGCCGATAATATCGAATCGCCAGCTGCTGGCCAGAATTTCGGTACCATTGTCCAGGTTGTACCTCACAAAGAAGAAGAAGAAGACATGGAAGAACACACGGAAATACACGCCGAAGAACATGAGGATAGCACTGAACATGCTGTTAACATACAACCTTTGCCCTTGCCTCTGCCGGTATCCACTACACCACTGCCTGTTTACAATTCCTATGACGACTGTTTCGTAAGTTCTACATTTTAGAATTTTTAAAGGGTATTTATAACGTTGTATTAACTTTCTTATAGCACTGCTCCCCCTATGCCGATTGCTGGGAACGCAGATGTATTTGCCGCGAAGGTTTCAGCGGTGATGGCTACTACTGTGCCAGCAACTGTGGCCTTGATGAGGTTTGGGAAAATGGCAAATGCGTTAGGCTATCATATGAGGAACCGGATATTGAACCCAGATGTAATTTCTTCGGCGATTGTAACTGTGACGATGGCTATGAACTGATGGAGGATATCCAAATGTGCCGCTGGATTGGCCAGTACAATGGTGAATCGAAACATGAGGATTTGGGTAAGTTTTAAGGAAGTTTCACAACCCCTAAAAATATACATAAAAACCCACGATTCAAAAAATTTTCTAAAAAATTCAACATTTTGAGAATCTTTTGAGAATCCTTCTACAAACATTATTAGAAACTCCAGGATTTTGAGTCTGATATCCCTATAAATTCATACAACTCCACCATTTTGCCTTGAGAGTCTCTAAAATATAAAAAATTCACCATTCAAATAATTTTCTAAAAAATACATGGAGTTGAGGTCCATTCAGTAATATTTTAAAAATCTCTGGCATTTCTTACTCTGAAAGTGCTTTCATTTTTTTTGAAATCCACAATTATTGTTCCGCGTTTCCTTGAAAAATGTCTTAAAATATCCAAGTTGTGGCCATGGAAGACCAAAAAAGAGCCTTAAGGCCTTATTCGTGGATTTTTATCAAACATTTGCACAATGTCTTTCAAGGCTGAGGAAGACTTGTGAAAATATTTTGTAAAAATGCATGATTAAGGCCTAGGATGTCCAAAATTTAGAACAAGGTTATGACGTTGGAACTTCTATAAAAATCCGAAGAAAAAATTAAAAGAAAAACAAGTAAAAGCTGTAAGTTCGGCCGGGCTGAACTTTGAATACCCTCCACCATTGGGAACAATATGGCAATTTTCAAAAAAAACATAATGATAATAATAATAATAATAATAATAATAATATAATAATAATAATAATAATAATAATAATATAATAATAATAATAATAATAATAATAATAATAATAATAATAATAATAATAATAATAATAATAATAATAATAATAATAATAATAATAATAATAATAATAATAATAATAATAATAATAATAATAATAATAATAATAATAATAATAATAATAATAATAATAATAATAATAATAATAATAATAATAATAATAATAATAATAATAATAATAATAATAATAATAATAATAATAATAATAATAATAATAATAATAATAATAATAATAATAATAATAATAATAATAATAATAATAATAATAATAATAATAATAATAATAATAATAATAATAATAATAATAATAATAATAATAATAATAATAATAATAATAATAATAATAATAATAATAATAATAATAATAATAATAATAATAATAATAATAATAATAATAATAATAATAATAATAATAATAATAATAATAATAATAATAATAATAATAATAATAATAATAATAATAATAATAATAATAATAAGAAATAAAAAATAAAATCCGCTAAAAACTCTATTAAAATCTTAAAAATACCAAATCTTAAAAATACCAAATCTTAAAAATACCAATAAGGTCTAAACGACGACGGGGCCCTGCATAGGCTTTTGTCATAAGCCATTACAATATTTAAATGGAAAAAAGGCGGTAAATAATGTAGCTTTCATCATCGTATCGTATCAATATAGGGGGCTATATCAAAATGTGGACCTGCACAGACAATTTTCTCCCATAGGCTGCAGTAGCCATTACGAACTTCAAATACCAAATTTGAAAGAATTCCGGTTAATAATGCCGCTAAAATCAACAATCGGGAGGTACCGTTATATGGAGGCTATACGAAGACGTGAACCTGCACAGAGAATTTTCTGTCATATGATGTAGCACCCATTACGAACTTCAAATACCAAATTTGAAAATATTCCGGCGAATAAAGTCGCTAAAATCATCAAAATAGCGTTATATGGGGGCTATACGAAGAAGTTGACCTGCACAGACAATTTTCCGTCATAGGCTGTAGTATCCATTAAGATATTTAAATACCAATTTTGAAATGTTTCCGGTTAATAATGTCGCTAAAATAAGAGGTACCGTTATATGGGGGCTATACCAAAACGTGGACCTACATGGCCCATTTTCAATACCAAAAGTCCAGCAGACATAGTATACATTTGAGTAAAATTTTATAAATCTACTTCATTTCGTTCGGAAGCTAGAGTGATTTCCACAGACGGATATACAGAAATTGTATATTTCGGGGTGACAAACTTAATGTACCTTCCATACTATGGTGGAGGGAATAATAATATTATTACCCTGGGAGCTTCGAGTCCCTCAAAAAAATATTTTTCAAAAAATTCACGATTTTCGCATTGAGAGTCCTTTTAACATTATTTTTAAACAATCCTCTGTCATATCCTTAGGGGTTCTTAAACATTCTTCAAAAAAAAAAAAAAAAAAAAAACATTGAATAAAACCACTATTATGGCCTTGTATATGCTTTTAAAAAAAAAATTAAAAGTCCTTCTAAAAATATTTCTAAAAATCTAAGATTATATCATTGTGAGTCCTTGAAAAATATTTTAAAAATCTATGGCTACAATCTTGGGAGTCCTACAAAAAATCTTAAAAGACATGATTACACCATTGGGAGTCCTCCAAAAATATTCCAAAAAATCCCTCTTTTCAACCATATGAGTCCTTCTAAATTTCCAAGGAAATACACGGCTATAGCCTTGCGTATATTCATAAAAATTAAAATGTCTTGAGAGATTTAAAAAATATTAAAAAAACACAATTCTGCCTTGAGTCTAAGAGTTACAGTTCTTTCAAAAAAAAAAAAAAAAAAAAAAAAAATTATAAAACCTCCAAAATAGCCTTGGGAGTCATTCGGGACCATTCTCAAGAACTTCACGACAGTATTGGAAGTCCTTATACTCTGGAAAAATTATGAGAAGCTTTTATGGTTTTTTAGTTCCTAACTATAGTCCTGAAAGTTTATGCGAAAAAATTGAGGATTTGAATAAGTTTTTTAATTCACATTTTTTTTAGAAAGAAGAACTTTAGTTTCAGTTATTGAGAATTGTTTTTTTTTTATGGGGAAAATAATCCATTTTGGTCAAATTTACCCAGATTTTATCCTTATTATCATTTCCCCGATTTCTAATCACAATAAAAAATTTTCTTACAGTTCCCTGTGACGTAGAATTCAACTGCCATCACAATGCCACCTGTGAATGGTATGAATTGGAATTGAGACATATGTGTACCTGTAAATCTGGTTACTATGGCGATGGTTACTCGTGTGCCATTATTGATGAGTCCTGTGCTGTGGTAAGTCCGACTTTTAAAATTACCGAAAAAAAAATAAACTAATTCGTTTTCCCATTTCCTCGTAGAAACCCGAAATATGCGATCCCCAGGCAGAATGTAACTACAACGAGGCCTTGGGCCGTTCCGAGTGCCAATGTAAACGTGGCTATGAAGGTGATGGTTTCCGTTGCGCCTTAGCTCCCGAATGTTTGGAAGATTTGGATTGTGGCCTCAATGCCTATTGCGATAATGATATTTGCCAGTGCGTCAAGGGTTATGAACGCGATATGTCCGATATGTGTGTTCTGGCCGGTAGCTGTGGTGCAGTGTTCTGTGGTGCTAATGCCATTTGCAAATTCGATCATGTCCAAAATGTGAAATATTGTGATTGCATGGATGGCTATGAGGGTGATGCTGCTGTCGGTTGCAAGAGCAAGCCGGTGCCATGTAATGTCCAGTACAATTGTGGTGTCCATGCTAGCTGTGAGCCTACAGAGTACGTAACTTCTACGAAGTCACCTCGACGAATGTAATTTCATTGATTTATTTTTCGTTTTTTAGGGATCCTGCCTACTACGAATGCCAATGCCATGCTGGCTTCAATGGTGACGGCTATACCTGTATTGAGGACCAGAATTGCTTGAATACTCCCCAGCTGTGTGACATGAATGCCCAGTGTTTGTCAACCAACCAGGGTTTGGTGTGTGTTTGCAACAAAGGTAAGGTGGAATCTCAGGATTATAGAATTATAGCATTTTCTCTACTTACCCTAGAACTGCATTTGATTTCTCTAAGAAAAACTATGGACCATTTCATGAATTCGGATATCGGATATGTTCTCGTCACATTACAATTTTATACATCTCTTCCGGAATCATTTCCAATTTCACGTGGCCTCTCTGGGGGACAGGAGGTGCAAAAGATATAAGCAAAAATGGTTAGCCCCAAGAGCACATTAAAATATCCATAATTGCGATGCCAGGTCAAGGGATGAGAGAAGAATTCTTTAAATCCTTGAAAAGTGGAAATTCGTTTGGGCAAGTCATTTTGACAGTTGTTCACTTCTGGCTGTCCTGCTTGAGACTTTGTACTATGACTCCTTGATTTCCACATGTTACGGTTTAGAAACACGGAGGGACTTGAGATTCTTGGTCCGAAGAAAGCAACAGAATAATTGGTTATTAATTTTTTGAATAGAAACATTTATAATTTGAAAAAATTTGAAACGAAATTTTTAAATTTTATTTCAATGATAGAATTTTTAAAATATTTATGTTTTATTGATATTTATTTCAAAGGCTGTAAGTTCGGCCGGGCCGAACATTGTATCCCCTATACCATTTGGAACGAATTTGGCAATTTTCAAAAAAAATAAAATCCGTTAAAAACCGTTATAAAGGGTATATACGACGACGTGACGATAAATAATGTAGATAAAATCATCAAAATGCCGAATATAGGGAGATACCATTATATGGGGCTATACCAAAACGTAGACCTACACAGACAATTTTCTGTCATAGGCTATAGTATCCATTAGTAACTTCAAATACCAAATTTGAAACATTTCCGATTAATAATGTCGCTAAAATCATCAAAATACCGAATACCGGGAGGTACCGTTATAGGGGGCTATAGAAAGTCATAGGCTGTAATATCTATTACGAACTTCAAATACCAAACTTGAAACAATTCCTGTGAATTATGTCGTTAAAATTGGGAGGTACCATTATATGGGGGCTACACCAAAACGTGTACCTACATGGTCCAGTTTCAATACCAAAAGTTCTGCAGACATAGTATACATTTGAGTAAAATTTTATCAACCTACTTCATTTTGTTCGAAAGCTAAATTGATGTCCACAGACGGACGGACATTGTGGGGTCTAAATTGTATATTTTGGGGTGTTATACTCAGAATGACAAACTCCACGCTATGGTGGAGGGTATAAAAATATGAACTCAGGCGCTGGGGTATTTTTCTATCGAATAGATTCGGACCTCAGTAACAACTTTTTTTCTATAGAAAAAAATCGGACCTCAGTAGCAACTGAGGTATTTTTTTCTATGGAGGAAAAAATCGGACCTCAGTAGCAACTGAGGTATTTTTTTCTATGGAGGAAAAAATCGGACCTCAGTAGCAACTGAGGTATTTTTTTCTATAGAGGAAAAAATTGGACCTCCGTAGCAACTGAGGTATTTATTTCTATAGAGGAAAAAATCGGACCTCAGTAGCAACTGAGGTATTTTTTTCCATAGAGGAAAAAATCGGACCTCAGTAGCAACTGAGGTACTTTTTTCCATAGAGGAAAAAATCGGACCTCAGTACCAGCTGAGGGATTTTTTTCTATAGAAAAAAATCGGACCTCAGTACCAGCTGAGGGATTTTTTTCTATAGAAAAAAATCGGACCTCAGTAGCAACTGAAGTATTTTTTTTCTATAGAAAAAAATCGAACCTCAGTAGCAGCTGAGGTATTTTTTTTTCTATAGAAAAAAATCGAACCTCAGTAGCAGCTGAGGTATTTTTTTTTCTATAGAAAAAAATCGAACCTCAGTAGCAGCTGAGGTATTCTTTTTTCTATAGAAAAAAATCGAACCTCAGTAGCAGCTGAGGTATTTTTTTTCTATAGAAAAAAAAATCGAACCTCAGTAGCAGCTGAGGTATTTTTTTTCTATAGAAAAAAAAATCGAACCTCAGTAGCAGCTGAGGTATTTTTTTTCTATAGAAAAAAAATCGAACCTCAGTAGCAGCTGAGGTATTTTTTTTCTATAGAAAAAAAAAAAACCGGACCTCAGTAGCAACTGAGGTATTTTTTTTCTATAGAAAAAAAAAAACCGGACCTCAGTAGCAACTGAAGTATTTTTTTCTATAGAAAAAAAAAACCGGACCTCAGTAGCAACTGAGGTATTTTTTTCTATAGAAAAAAAAACCGGTCCTCAGTAGCAACTGAGGTATTTTTTTTTTCTATAGAAAAAAAAAACCGGACCTCAGTAGCAACTGAGGTATTTTTTTTTCTATAGAAAAAAAAAAATCGGACCTCAGTAGCAACTGAGGTATTTTTTTCTATAGAAAAAAATCGGACCTCAGTAGCAACTGAGGTATTTTTTTTCTATAGAAAAAAATCGGACCTCAGTAGCAACTGAGGTATTTTTTTATAGACCTCAGTAGCAACTGAGGTTTTTTTTTTCTATAGAAAAAAAATCGGACCTCAATAGCAACTGAGGTATTTCTTTCTGTTGAAATAAATCGGATCTCAGTAGTAACTGGGGTATTTTTTCTGTAGAAAAATAACCGGACTTCAGTAATAACTAAGGTATTTTTTTTCCAAAGAAAATAAATCGGACGTTATTTCACGGGGGATTTTTTTCCAAAAAAAAAAAAAAAAAAAAAAAAACGAGCCTCAGTTGCTGAGTTATTTTTTCTTCTATAGAAAAAAATCGGACCTTAGGAAATGGGATATTTTTTATCTATAGAAAAAATCCGAGCTCATGAACTAAGGTAGAAACCGTGGCTTATCTCTATTTCTGATTTACATTTGACAACTATTGGTCTCCTTTTTCCCTTTGTTCCTTATTTTTTATAATTTCGTATTTCTCCATTTCTTTCCAGGATTCTATGGCAATGGTTCATTGTGTATGGAACGCAAACAACATGATTCCGGTTTCTTGCTGGTCTCCCAAGGTGTAGTTATCGTACGCGTACCCCTGAATGGCAAAAATGTAAGACCTATTTCTGTTGCTTCCATGGCCATTGGTCTGGATAAGGATTGTGTTGAGGGACGCATCTATTGGGGTGATATTTCGGCCAAGAAAATTGTCAGTGCCAAGTATGATGGCAGTGATGTGAAGACATTTATTGGTGAAGGTGAGTGGGAGGCACTTTGATTTGGTGGAAGAAAAAATTAAAATTGAAACTATTTCTCTCTCCCTCTCTCTCTCCCTCTCTCTCTCTCTCTCGCGTAGATATTGAATCTCCCGAAGGCATTGCCATTGATGCCATTTCCAGACGTATTTACTGGACAGATTCCGTCAAGGACACCGTTGAGGTGGCCAGTTTGGAGGATCCCAATTTGAGAGCTGTTTTGATTAACAAGAATTTGGTCAATCCCAGAGGCATTGCCATTGATCCTTACAGAGAGTAAGTTTTGGGAGAAATATTGAATTCGAAATCTTTTAACAAAATTTTTAAATTCTAGGAAATTGTACTGGTCCGACTGGAATCGTGAATCGCCCAAGATTGAAATGTCCGATTTAGATGGTACTGGCCGTGAATTGTTGTTGGGCAATTATAGTGTTACTTTACCCAATTCTTTGGTGGTTTTGGAACGTTCCGGTGAGCTGTGCTTTGCTGATGCCGGCACCAAGAAGGTGGAGTGCATTGATCCCTATAGCAAGCAAATACGCACCATTTCCAATGAGCTGACCTATCCCTTCGGTTTGGTTTACACTCAAGATCAATTCTACTGGACCGATTGGACAACGTAAGTTGGCAAATTCGATGATGGAAAAATAATTATATTAAATATTTTATTTCAAAATTTCCAGCAAAAAACTCGAAAGTGTTGACATTTTCGGCAACCGCCAGAAGGGCCTGCAAATCCCCTTCTTTGGCAGCCACAAAATGTATGCCATGACCTCGGTGGAGGACACCTGCTCACAAATGGACAGCCCATGTCAGAGCAACAATGGTGGTTGCTCCGATAACCGCCTGTGCTTGGTCAATCGTAAAGCTCCCTCGGGTAAAAGCTGTAAATGCACAGCCCAATCGAAGCTGTGCACTGTCCCCAATCCCTTCAATGCCCTCTAAAGTGTACTTAAGACATGATGTGTTGTAGCAAGCCGATCACGTGCCGCTAGCTATAAATTCATTCGTAATAATTTTCGTGTAAACATTTATCTGTTAAAGAAATTCATGTATGTAATTATTATAAAGTGTATTTTTTTTAATTTTATTTTTCTCTCACCAAAATAAGAAAAAAAAAGTGGAAAACTATTCAATCTGCATATCTGACAACAAATTGTGAATCATTTGTACCATTATCATCTCTCCTTTTTTTACTGCAATAAATTTAATTAATTTAACTATATTTAAAGAAATGGTGTTTTAATGAAAAGAAAGAAAAAACGAAAAATATCAAAAGTTAATGGAGATTATAATACCGAACAATCCTTACAAATAATATTCCCTCTAATGAAAAGACCAGAAAGAGAGAGAGAGAGGGAGAGAATTGAGTGAACAATTTTAAGTTGGGTCGGGAGTTTTGTATCATTAACACGAAAAGTTTTTAAAACGGGAAATGCCGTTATATCTTTCAAAATTAGAAAATTGTTTTTCTTGGAGATGGACATAAAATGGATCTTGAGTTAACGAGGTCAATTGTAAAAGAGAGTCCTAGATGAAGCAATTTTTTGGAAATATGTGATCTCTTTAAAATATAACCATCCAACATTAAAAATCGTCCGGAACCGACTCCAACATAAAGTTTCAAATAACGAACTATCAGAAAAGTCTAAATAAACAAGTTAAAAGTCGGTTCTGCCGACAGATGTATACCCCCAACCTTGAGTTATGATTATTTAAACTGTTGACCATTTATGGGAGAGGCTCGGAAGCAGTTGGCCAATATTGACCAATTCGTATCTGACCTACGACTGATATAAATATTACAATGTTCCAGATTTGGACTATTTCCTATACTTCATATAAGATATGTGCAAATTGTCGGAAAGCGTAAGGTAACAGATATACCGGAGGGAAGTATTCCATTATATAATGGTATGTGCACAATTTGAACATTTATATCGAATTTTGTGCGAAATAATATGTGTCGATCAATTACACATTTATATCAGATTTTTGGTTAAGAGAAACATTTAGATATAGCAACTTGTAAAGAACCGCTGACTTATTCCCCAAGTTATGACAGCTAAAAATATTAAAAATTGTGACCCTATGTGGGTGAGGTACCAGAAGGGATTCGCAGATATATATCATATTGTATGTGTGAAATTTGAAGAGAGTTGGTTTCTTATTTCGCTTTCTTTGTGAGTTTGGTTTTTTAAAATCTTGAACCAAATGTGGGGCAGGTAGCATCTCTACCATCTTTATAACAGATCTTGTGTTATCGAAAATATTGAGATGTACCAAGTGTGGAATGGAATCGGATGTTAATTTCGCTTTTTATGAGCTTCATGGATATTAAAATTTTGAGCCCTTGTGAGAGAGGTATAGAAGGAATAGACCAATGTATCCTGTCTTCGCAGCAGATCTTGTGTTGGTAAAAATAATGTCGGATTTTATAATCGATTGGTTATTCAAAACTTTGACCGTTTGTGGGGGAGGTACCAGAAGGAATGGTCCAATATTTATAACAAATATTATGTTGACGGAAATATAGATATGTACTAAGTCTGAATGGAATCGGATATTATTTGCACGTTTTATGAGCTTCATGGTTATTTAAAATTTTGACCCTTTGTGGTGGGGGTACCAGAAGGTGTGAACCGATATATCCCATATTTACAGCATATATTGGGTTAATAAAAACCCTCAGCATCCGATAGTCTTCAAATGTGTGATGTGTGTAATTAGAAGATTATCGGATGCTTATTTCGGATTTTTAATTTGAAGTACTTGCTTCTGGGCTGAATTCCGCCGGAAGTGCCAAAATGCAGTACATTTGGGCTGATATTAGCCATTTGGTGCACAATAAACCTGTTATCGGATGAAGATATATATGGGAGCTACTTCTAAATTTGAACCGATTGTCATCAATTTCAATAAGGTTCGTCCTTGAGCCAAACAAACATTGTTTGGAAAGTTTCATCTCAATCGCATAATTAATGTGATCTGCATTTTGTTCACAAGTATACATGGACAGACGGACGGACAGAAAGTGATTCTAAGAATATCCTCAAAGTAACCAGGGATCTACCTCACTTCCTTCTCCATTTTACAAAAAAAATGCACCAAGACATAACACCCCTAACACTATGTGGTCTAATCGTGAAAATGGGGCTAAACCGATAAAAATACTGAACCGTGTACCTATACAGACAATTTGATGTCACCAGTGGTAGAGGGGTTACGAATGAACAAGACAAAGTGGAGGGTTCAAACCTCTCACGCGTTCACATTCTACCTAGTTTAAAAAAGGAATGAAATCGGTCCACGCCAAACGGTTACAATTTTTAAAATCATGAATTGCATACATTAATACATAATATATAATTTAAGAGTAACATAATTCTATGGGTGTCATATCAATCTTGAACATATTTTCTATCATTGCAAAATAAAAAAAAAATATATTAAAAAATATTTATTGAACATTGTCATTTCAGTTTTGCTGTTTGGTACGAAAAACAGTTTTCTTTCACAAAATATTGGAAAAATGCTATAAGTAGTGGATTTTTGCAACATCTAGAATAAAGCTATTTTCTTAAATCAGGATTATGATCGCATTTTGAGCTCTTCCTCCCTCTTATTTAGAATAAGTCGACAAAATGAAGAATACACATCGCTCGCCAGTGTGAATTTTTCCCTGAGAGAATTAAAGACAAATTCTTTTTTTGGGGGGTAAAAATCAATAATCGCAAGATGTTCCATCTTATATTTTTTTTTTGTAATTAATAAAAGTCTTGAATTATTGCAAGTTCTGCAACTAATCTGTAATTTCAAGCGAAATTTCGACTTACTTGTTTGTATCGTCTTATTTGCTATTAAGATTAAGTCGACAATGTGAAAAAGAGAAATATCTCAACATTGTGTTTTCTCTCCTGAGAGAATTAAATTGCTTCCATTATTACAAAATAAAACAAAATTTAATGTTTTGTTTAGAATTTATTTTTTTCTTTATTGAACAATGTCATTTCAGTTTTGTTGGTTTTTATTTTAAATATTCTCTTTGCAGATTTCTATTTATATATACTATACTTAAATTTTTCCCGTTCATTTCGTATAACTACAATTTCTTATATCATTTCTCTATATATTCGTTTAATTTTAGTTGTTTTTTTTTTAATTTTAAAGGTTTTATGTGTTTTTATATATTTCTTAAGTCGAAATGAAACGAAAAGGATAGAGAACTAGAAAAAAAGAATTTGTTTAAATGAATAAAAAAATGATTTATTTTCTAAAAAATGTAAAGCAAATTTATAAAAAATACTGTTGAAAATAATTAGTGCCAACAATTTATATCCAAAATTCAAATCGTATTTGCTTTTAAATAATCAAAAAAAAAAAAAAAAAAACAATTTAAAATTAAAATAAATTGTATGTTTTTTTTAATTTTTTTCAAATAAAATAAATAATCTGTATATTAAGTGTTTTAAATGTCAGTTAAAATTTTGAATTTTATTTTATTAATATATTTTTTTTTTTTATTAGATTTGTACACATTTCTTATTTATGGATTTATTTTCCTATGGGTAGTGAAAACTAAAATCCAAAAATGTTCGAATAATTATTTTTTTAAGGTTGGGGTTCAGCTTATTTTGTCTTCTTCATGTCTGTTTTGTTTAATATTCTACAAAGGTGCAAAAATAATTTTCCTACAAAGGTTTTCAGTAAAGAGACAGAGATTTGATCTTTTGTTTTTGTTTTAATTTTGCTTATGTACAAATTTTATGTTATATTTATTTTTTTCTAAATTTATTATTTTTAGCGTTATTTTATAATATCTTCATTGTTTGGATAGTTTAGCGGAAAACAAGGCATTACTTTTGTTTGTCTAAGGAAGGAGAGGGGAAGGTCCTTTAAAATTAATTTTTAATCAAAATGGAAATTTGAAAAAAAACTATTAAAAAATCGGTAAATTCGCCCGGGCCGTATTTTTGAATACTCTCCACCATTTGGAACGAATTTGGCAATTCTCAAAAACATTAAAATCTGTTAAAAATTCTGTTAAAATCGGTAAATAATGTAGCCAAATGCATCAAAATACCGAATATGGCGAGGTACAATTATATGGGGGCTATACCTAAACGTGGACTTGCACAGATAATTTTGTGTCTTAGGATGAAGTATCCATTACGAACTTCAAATATCAGATTTGAAACAATTCCGTTAAATAATGTCGTTAAAATCAACAAAGTACCAACTATCGGGAGGTACTGTTATATGGGGTCTATACAAAGACGTGGACTTGAACAGAAAATTTTCCGTCATAGGCTGTAGTATCCATTTCGAACTTCAAATAACCTATTTGAAACGATTCCGGTGAATAAAGTCGCTTAAATCATCAAAATACCGAATATCGGGAAGTACCGTTATATGGGGGCTATACCAATACGTGGATCTAGTCCTGCAGACATAATATACATTTGAGTAAAATTTTATCAATTTACTTAATTTCGTTCGGAAGCTAGAGTGATTTCCACAGACGGACGGACATCGCTAAATCGACTACTTTTACGAATACCTTACTATAATGTACAGGGTGAGATGAAAAAAATGCAACCAACTTCCAGTGACATCTCATTATATTGTTAACAAGCGTTTTGCAAACATTTTGGCGAGAACTTTCCGGAGAAAAAGTTATTCGTGACGGAAATCAAGCGTGACTTCTTTATATTTGGCTGGGAAACCACAAGTGGCTATCGTTAGAGCACTCCAGCATTTAAATATGAAAGAATCTTTTGTGTCTCGTATCATCGCTCGTTACCGTGATACTGCGTAGCGTAGCCCGACGTCAAGGAAGTGGACGGAAGCAGAATGGCAGAAATGGTTCGAAAATTAAAGAAGCGACTTGATCGAAACCCGCATCGTAAATGGCTGGTGAGCTGAACATATCGCAAAATTCCATTCGGTAAATATTGAAAAATTGAAATTCCAAAAAGTGCAAGAACTTACACCGCAACAGAAAGAGAATAGGCTCAAAAAAGCTAAAGAGTTGATTCGCTTGGCCGAAAGTGGTGAACTGACGAATTTGGTTTTCTCCGATGAGAAAATATTCGTTGCCCTGCAGTATGTTCCAGCAGACAAAATGATCGTGTTTGCTTGCCAAAGAGGTCAGCTGAAAATGTGCACCTTCGGTGGGCCACCAGAACTCAGGCGCCGCCCTTGGTGATGGTGTGGGCCGCAATAATAGCCGATGGTCGCTCTCCGCTTGTATTAATCCCACGGTCGATGTTAATCAGAATAAATGCAGAATATTATCGCGAAAATATACTGGAGGGTGTATTAAAGCCTTAGGCACGCAAACATTTTGGCCACAGACCTTGGAAATTCCAACAGGACTCAGCACCATCGCACTCAGCACGCGCCACCCACGGTGGCTTTATTTCCAGCGCACAATGGCCACTAAAATCTCCGGATACCAATCCGTTAGACTATTGTGTCTGGAGTATTTTGAAAGGCAAGGTTGGCATTAAAAAATACGAAAGTGTCGATCACCTAAAGCAAGCGCTTAGCCGGGAATGAGCCAAATTACCGCAGAGCAACACTAGGGCAGCGTGTGACGGTTTCATTGGCCGTTTGAAGGCCATAATTCGTGCCAAAGTTGACCAATTCTAACAAATCTAAACTTATTCTAAAATTTGAAGCTATTTTTTGCTTTCATTCAATAAATGTAAAAATTATGGCGTTTGACTTTGTTGCAGTTTTTTATCTCACCCTGTATATTTTGAGGTGTTATAAACGGAATGATAAACTTAATATACCCTCCATACTTTGGTGGAGGGTATAAAAATGGGGAGGTTCAAAAAATAGCCCATAAACATTTAGGCATTAAAAACAACTACTTTTGAAAAAAAAGTTTTTTTTTTACAAAAAAGTTCTTATCGATAACATTTAGTAACATAAATGTTATATCGATTTATTTCTTTCCATAAAAAAGTTGTTATCGATAAAAAAAGATTTTGTCTGTATTGTTGTTGTCAAATATTTTTCTTTTCAAAACATTTTTTTTATCGAAAACTTTTTTTTAACGAAAAATTATCATTTCTTTAGAGAATTGTTTTACTTTTTTAAATACCTCTCGAAACAGTAAATTTTAAAGATAAAGATATTTAATAATTTTTATTTCTTGATCTAAATTAATTGGTTCGTTTTGTGCACAATATGGAAGTGAAAGTAAAACAAGGCAGATTTGGGTCAACAAAAGAAAGCAAAATTACAATTTCTTTTGTTATCATATGTTCCTTTGTGTGTGTGTGTGTGTTAAATTCATGTAAAGCATTTATTGTTTACCAAAGCGTCTTCTTTTTTCAAATGTTATTATACTCTTTTTATGTTATTTAGCTTAATCCTAAAATATTTTATTTTTATACCAGGGAGGTGATAACAAAACGAAAAAAAAAAACCTAGAATGGATCTAATGCTATTTACAATAATTTTGAAAACACCGAAAACCAATTTTACAGATAAATTGAAATTTATGGGATTTTTAAGCGAGAGTTTTGTGTTGAGAAACAATGACATTTAAATGAAAACGAAAATGACCACCCCGGCTTTACGAACCAAACGAGAACCGAAAATAAAACCAAAATGTACCTTGCATTTATTTTATCTACATTGTGTTGTTGTAACTACTTTTATTTATATTTCTTTGTCCCTTAATCACTCTTATCCGCCTATTATTTTTTTGTGATTTTTTTTCTTTTGTTAATTGTTTTTTTTTTTCAAAGACTTATTTAATTATTTTTTTGTTTTAACTACAGGTTCTTTGTTCCCAAAACACACTTTGTTTTTATGTATATTTTTCATCATCAGTTTGAAAACTGTGAATCAAATATCTAAATAATTTACTTCAATATATTCTTTTTTATGTAATGTTATGATTAATTATGTACGATTTTTTTTAAAATTGACAATTACAATTTAAACAATGTTTTTCTGTTTTTGTTTAGGAAACTATTTTATTTTTTTTTTTCAATTTTTTAGTATAACAAATAAAACTTTGTAAGTTTAAATAATAATAATAATATTATCAATGTTAGTATGTACAAACATAACGAATTACAACAAATCATTTTATGACTAGTTCAATTCAAAGTTCAAAATTTTCTGAATTACAAATATTTCTTGGGGAAAGAAGTTGCCTATATCCATATTTTTTGTAGGAGAATTTGAAGGTAAAGAATTTTATATGGAAAAATCTTGTCGGAATAACAATTTTTCTATGAAGAAAAGTTATCGATAACAACTATTCTATGGAGAATAGTTGTCGATAACAACTATTCTATGGAGAATAGTTGTCGATAACAAGTATTCTATGGAGAATAGTTGTCGATAACAGCTATTCTATGGAGAATAGTTGTCGATAACAACTATTCTATGGAGAATAGTTGTCGATAACAACTATTATATGGAGAATAGTTGTCGATAACAACTATTCTGTGGAGAATAGTTGTCGATAACAACTATTCTGTGGAGAATAGTTGTCGATAACAACTATTCTGTGGAGAATAGTTGTCGATAACAACTATTCTGTGGAGAATAGTTGTCGATAACAACTATTCTGTGGAGAATAGTTGTCGATAACAACTATTCTGTGGAGAATAGTTGTCGATAACAACTATTCTGTGGAGAATAGTTGCCGATAACAACTATTCTGTGGAGAATAGTTGTCGATAACAACTATTCTGTGGAGAATAGTTGTCGATAACAACTATTCTGTGGAGAATAGTTGTCGATAACAACTATTCTGTGGAGAATAGTTGTCGATAACAACTATGCTGTGGAGAATAGTTGTCGATAACAACTATGCTGTGGAGAATAGTTGTCGATAACAACTATGCTGTGGAGAATAGTTGTCGATAACAACTATGCTGTGGAGAATAGTTGTCGATAACAACTATGCTGTGGAGAATAGTTGTCGATAACAACTATGCTGTGGAGAATAGTTGTCGATAACAACTATGCTGTGGAGAATAGTTGTCGATAACAACTATGCTGTGGAGAATAGTTGTCGATAACAACTATGCTGTGGAGAATAGTTGTCGATAACAACTATGCTGTGGAGAATAGTTGTCGATAACAACTATTCTGTGGAGAATAGCTGTCGATAACAACTTTTCTATGGAGAAAAGTGGCCGATTACAGTGGAGAAAAGTTGTCGATAACAACTTTTATATATTAAAAAGCTGTCGATAACAATTTTTTTTATATGGAAAAGTTGTCGATAACGACTTTTCTATACAGAAATGTTGTCGATAACAACTTTTCTAAACCGAAAAATTGTCGATAACAGCTTTTCTATACAGAAAAGTTGTCGATAACAACTTTTCTATATGAAAATGTCGTCGATAGCCGCTTTTCTCTACATTAAAGTTATCGATAACAGCTTTTCTATATGAAAAAGTTATCGATAACAACTTTTCTATTCCGAAAAGTTATCGATGACAGCTTTTCTATACATAAAAGTTGTCGATAACAGCTTTTCTATACATAAAAGTTGTCGATAACAGCTTTTTCATATCGATAAGAACTTCTCTATATGAAAAAGTTGTCGATAACAATTTTTTTATGTGAAAAAGTTGTCGATAACAATTATTTATATGAAAAAGTTGTCGATAACAATTTTTCTATGGAGAAAAGCTGCCGATAACAACTTTTCTATGGAGAAAAGTTGTCGATAACAACTTTTCTGCCGACAAAAATTTTTTGATATAAAAAATTTATCGATATGAAATATTTAACATTTTTCTGTAGCAAAGTTTGCAGAGTGTGTTATCGATTAACGTCTTTTCTCTACAAATACCTTTCGATCGATAACATCTATTACCCAAGAAAAAATATGGAATTTTCCGATTTCAAAACAAATTATAACTTAAGAACAAAATCATATTTTGTATGTATGTATGTGTGTGTGTTTATGAATATTGTTGTTTTTCCTTCTTCTCTTGTTCTTCTTCTTAACTCAATACATTATTAACTTAAATTGAAGTCTATTATTAAATTAAATTCATTTCTCATAAACATATCGTTGATTTTGAATTTGCTAATTATTGTTGTAATGCTACTACGACAACTATGGTACAACATCATCATCTTCTTCGGAACTGGGTCGCAGCACAGAGCGCCTTAATCTCTCTTGGCTCGATATTAAATCCATTTGTTTTTCTTCGATATTGAAGAGCGGAGTCTGCGACCCCACATAAGGTTGTATCATACAATTGTACCCTGCAGATGTTGCGGTGACTGCACAGCTGAGTTTTGTGATTGATCCTGGGGCACTTGGAGGGGGCTGTTGGGATTGGAACTGCCAGCCAAGTCAGCTGTGTTAATGTTGAGTGTGGAACCGCCAGCGCCGCCTCCACCTCCACTATTGCCGCCCAAGGCGGAGGGATTTATGCCACCACCTTGGCCACTAGGCACAATGCAGGGCACACCTAAAATGGGTGTGGGCTCTTCGGGTGGTGTTACCTGCAATGAAATGCGATTCTTTGGAAATTGAGTTTTAAGAGAATCCAGCAAAGCAAAAATCCATTGTTAGTATCATCCGAATTTATAGTCGTTTGTAATTCAAATTTCGAAAACTTACCTCCAAACCAATGCTGCCATTCAGGGCGATTTTAATGGGATTCGTGTGATTGGTGGCCTGCATCAGCGTGGTAAAGTGGCTAATGCCGATTTCTTCGAGCGAGGATTTTCTTCGACCCGTATTAATGCCCACATTGGGCAAACCCTGGCGAAGCGATGACGAACGACGCAGTAAAATGTCATTATCAATCTAGAAGACAAAAGAAGAGGGAACAAGGTCCGAAACCCAAAAATAAAAACAATTCCAAAACAGGTCGCAACAATTCAAATGAATTTCCAACATCAATCATTGATAAAAAGTAATAATTCAAATTTCAACAATTAATTTACAAAAAATCAAAATTGAATTCAACCACAAAATTATAACGAAATTCTCTCAATCGATAATAACAAAATGGCAAAAACATCAACAACGGTTTTTGGTGATATTGAAAATCGCAACACGCATGACTGATGGACGACGGGGGATGCACTGAAATTGTTGTTGTCCTCTCATCACAGCTCAGTTGGTGTGGTGTGTGGTGTAGTTGGGCGCCATCCATCCAACAGGTGAGTAAGTAGTGCCTTGACCGAAAAACCTTCAATCTTAGCCGCACACACATTCAAGAAGTGGTTGGTTGTGGTAGTGCTGGTGGTAGTGGTGGTGGTGGTAGTAGTAGTGATCGTGATGTTTCTATTACGAGTGGCTTTTTGTTTGGATATCAACTCAAATACCCATTTTTTTTGCTAAGGTATTTGAGTAGCATTTTTCAAAACAGATTTCAAACTAAATTTTTGAGGGTACAATAGTTGTTGTTGGTAGGTTGGGGGAGTGCAGGACAAATAGCACACAATCACAATGGTACAGAGTGCAGCCAATTATTGTGGTGACAGTTGAATGAGGATGTATTAGTAAGACAAACAAATAAACGAAAACACAAACTGGGGATAACAATTAGTTCCAATTTCTACAGAAAGCAAAATATTTTCATAAACAAAACGGAATTTAGCAACAACAACAACAAAACACAAGGTGTAAATTGAAAGTAACAATTACAGCTTTGGCTACATACATCACTACAAAGTTTACTATTTTTAAATCTCTCTATTCCATGGGGCTGGATTTTTATTCCAGGGAAAATCGAATTGAAAAATATTTTCTTTACAAATTTTCTTAGTTTGGCATTTTTTCCAAATATTACTCTGTTCCAGAACTGCAAGAATGTAAAACTTTTTACTACGATAACCGATTTTTCCTTTATGATATCTAAAAAATATGCAAAACTAGAAGATTCCTGTAGGTATTGGAACGGAGCATATACAAATTTTCTTATCACAGTTTTGCTCTGTTCCAGAAACGCCAGGACTGAAAACATACAAGTAGATTCTTGAAGGTTCTGGAACAAGGCAGTTTTTAGAATATCAAATTATCGAAAAGTTGTCATCGACAACTTTCTTTATTGTATTGATTAACCAACGAAAATATTAATCGAAATCGCATTCCATACACTATTTGTAATCGAAAATCTAAAAAGTATAGAATTTTCTCGAAAGTTTTGCTCTAGAATGATATTGTTATCGAAAGACTTGTAAAAAGAAATTTTCGAGCTTGTCTACTTTCAGGAAAATTTATTACTGGGATCATTTCCTAAATTTGTTATCGATAACTTTTCCTCTTTATGCTATTTCCCCCATCAAAATGTTTTTTTCTCTATATGAATGTTTTTAATCGACAACGAGTTGTTATCGAAAAATGTGCCACATAGGTATGTTGTTATCGACAAATTTTCTCAGAAGAAAAGCTTTTATCGGCAACATTTCCTAATAGAAAAAATGCATCCATAAAGTTTCTCAATGTTGGTTACAGATAAATTTTTATTGCTGATATGTTTGTCGACAAATTTTTAGTAACATTTATTATCGACCAGTTTTCTTCCCAGAAAAGTTGTTATCGGACACGTTTTTTCATAGATAGTCATTTTTTGATAACATTTCTTTGCAGAAAATTTGTTATCGATAAGTTTTCTCCTCGAAAAATGTGTTATCGACAACTTTTCTCCGCAGAACAGTTGTTATCGTTACCTATTCTCTATACAAAAGTTGTTATTGCAGCCTTTCTTTAATATGACTGTTGTAATCGTTTTTAAGAGAAATTATGTTATCGACAAATTTATGCCATAGAAAAGTGTTTATTGAATACTTTCCGTTTTAGGAAAATAATTATCGGCAGGTTTTCTTTTCAGATAAATAGATAAGTATTTATCGATAAAGTTTCTTCAAAGAACATTTGTTATCGGGAAATTTTCTACTCGGAAATCTTGTTATCGACAACTATTCTCCTTAGAAAAACTGTTATCAACATCTATTTTCTATAGAAAAGTTACTATCAGAGTCTTTTTTAATAGGACTGTAATCGGCAATCGTTATCGACAACTTTTCGCCATAGAATCGTTTTTATAGAACTTTTCATATTAGGTAAATAGTTGTCATTGTTGTTATCGGCACTTGCTTTCTATTGTTATTGACAACACTGTGTAATGAAAAAAATGTTGGTGAGAAAGTATTTATCGATAACTGTTACCAACATTTCTCAATACAAAATAAGTAATCGATAACGTTCTTCAATGGAAAGGTGAGTACCGACAACTTTTCCCCACCCATAAGTACTTATCGATAATTTTTCTCCTCAGAAAATTTGTTTTTTGTTTATAGTATACTTTTCGTTTTATTCTGAGATGAATAGATAAGTATTTATCGATATCGAAGTTCTCTGCTCTGAAAATGTGTTATCGTTTATGTGTATTCTCAGAAAAGTTATTATCGACATCTATTCTCCACAGAAAAGTTGTTATCGCTATAGAATAAGTTTCATCGGATACTTTCCTTCATAGATAAGTGTTTATCGAATACTTTTCATATTACGTAAAAAGTTATATGTGGTTGTTATAGACATTTGTCTCTATAGAAAAGTTGTTATTTGAAATTGCTTTCTATTGTTATCGGCAAGCTAGGTAATTGAAATATTTTGGTGGAAAAAATTGATCGACAAAAGTTATCCATCGATAAGTATATATCGATAATTGGTCGGCCATAATTTTAAATACAAATTAAGTAATCGATAACGTTTTTTAATGCACAGTTAGGAAATTTTATTATATGTAACTTTGCTCCGTATGGAATTGTTATCGACAACTTTTCTCGATGGTTCATTTGCCATTAGAAACTTTTTTCACAGCAAAATATATCGTTTCTTCATAAAAGTGTTATAATCGATGCCGTTTTCCATAAAATCGTTGTTAACGGTAGGTTGTCTTCCTAGTCTTCAGCTACATTTCTCCATAGAAATTTTTCTATCCATTTTTCTCAATAAGAAAATGTTATCGATAAGGTATGTAAAAATGATTATCGGCTACATTTCTCCACAGAAATTTTTATTTCAATTTTTCTCTATAAAACATGTTATCGATAACTTTTCTCTATGAAACAATTGTAATCTACATGAAAAATATGTCGATATATTTTCTCCATCTCAAAATTGTAACTCATAATGACATTTTTTCTCTATGGAAAACTAATATGGTCATGTAGAAAAGATAGTGTTAACGATAAATTTTCTACGCTAATTGTAAGAGTATTTGCAGTGATGTAGCGTTTTAAGTAAAGCTGAAAGATTATGCCTAAATTACAAATGAGCTCAAATATTTGCAAATGTTGAAGCAATTATTTTAAATACAGCGAACAAATGAAGCAAAGAACAAAATATTAAGATTTCAGTGTTTTTTTTTTCAAAACAAAAGTAGGACAAAATATTTTTTCTGCTAAGAAACCGTGTGAATTTGGCCACATGTTTAATTAACAACAATATATCTTTTAGTTTCAGGACAAAACACACACAGTTCCTTAACAGAACACTTGAACCAAACACCTTATACAGGAAAAAAACGAAACAAAAACAATTCGGAAAAGACAGACAACAGACAAATGGTAGCAGTTTACAGCTTATGGTGGAAGATAATTACAAAGAAACCAACAAAACCAAAAATACACAAAAGCAAAGAGAGAGAGAAACGAAAACATAGGTGTGGAATTTTTAATTATAGCCAACCCGTAATGAGTTACTCCGTCCGCGCTGCGAGCCAACAACCGTAGGACTGTCGGGTAGAGAAAGAGAATTGGATTTAATTTGTTGTATTGGCGGCGTGCAGCGTGGCGAAGCATACCCGGCCAATGTCTGGACACTTTGCATTTGCATGGGATTGAGGCCAGCCATGCCCGAACCGCGCCTGGAGCCGGCACCGGTGTTACCGCCAACGCCCACCGAGCCCACGTTGGGGCCACAGGCAGCGCCCAAATTGATGTTGGAGCAAAATGATATGTTTGATTTGCGTCGTGAGTTATGACGTTCAAAGGTTTTCTGGGCTGAGAAGGGTGAAGGTCGTACTAAATATCTAAGAGAGAGAGAGTGAAAATAAGAAAGATTAATAATTAAATGAGAAAAGAGAGTGAGAGAGTGTCACAAACTTACATTACATCGCCTTCTTCTAATTTTAGATCACAGCTCGGATTGATTATCACATACGAGAGATGGTTGCGCTTCTCACTGACATCATCGTAATCAATGGTGGGTAAATTCAACGACTCCATGCGGCTGCGCACCAAGTTGGCAATTTCCGCTCGTTCGATTTGCTGGGCATGATTATCGCGTGCCTCATCGGCCAAATTAATGGAATACTGAAAAAACATAGATGACTGCTCTACGATTAGTTTCTCAAATTGCAAACGAAATACAAGTCGGGGGATAATGATGATCGGATCGTTCTCTGATGCTCTTCTCTTGAGTTTTGTTTTCTTTTCTCTTAGTTTTCGCTGAGATAGAGAGATACAACATCATTATCCTTGCATTTTCGTATTCTAAACAAAGACGATTAGGTGAGTTACTTGATTACATTTTATTTTGTGGTTAGAGATGAAGAGAGAAAATAGTTCAAAGGAGCTATCATTGCTTTTTTTTTTTTTTTGGTGTTGCCAGTTGTAAAGCACACTAAATTTAAGTATTCTGCTTTGGATTTTTTATTCGTTTTCAGAAATGAGCTGTTGTTTTTGTGTGTCATCATTCTTCATTCATTCATTTCAATCCATTTTCTAGTATTTTTTGTTAATCATTAAAGCATTTGTGTTTTGTTTTTTTTTCATCTACATCAAGCCATTAGTTTTTTTACATTTGTTTTTTTTTGCTCTTAGAGAGAATGCTTCATGCTACAATCCACTACAAAGTTAATTTCCATACAAAAAGGTTTCATTCAGTTAGAGTTTTGATAGGCTTAATCTTAAGTTTATTCAACATAACGAGACATGTTATTTTTTTTTTGTAAATCTAAATTCTAGTTTACCTACCTTGAGAGAGAATTTTGAAATGTGAGAACAAAAAAATTAAATCTTACAACAAAGGCTCCTAACTACCAATACCTAAACAAGGGATAATAAAATGATAAAATTGCATGTTTAGAATGCCCCCCGTAGAGAGAATCCACCGACAGTTAACTTGTAAATTTGGGAATCTCCATGTCTTCAGACAGTCGAAACAATCCTGTTTTTATAAAAATAACCAATAGCGGATCTCCAGGTCTTCAAAATAATAGCTCAGGGTCTCAATAGAAGATTATCCACTTGTTCTTGAGAAAAAAAGAGAAAACTTTCTTGTTTTTCAGATTTTATGGACGATAAACAAACTCGAGGACTCTTATTGACGATAGAAGACTTTTAGGGTCATCTGTGGGTCGTAGGTTTTCTTTTTGGGACAATAGAAGACCCACATGTCTTCTGTGAGTGATAGAATACCTCTTCCATGGACGTTATATGACTTCCTTAAAGTCCTGGAAAAATAGGAGACTTCGCGTCTCCAGGTCTCCTGTGGACGACATAAGACCTCCAAATCTTCTATGGGCGATAGAAGACCTTCAAGCCTTCTATGGAGGATAGAAGACCACCAGGTCTTCTATAGACGATAGAAGACCACCAGGTCTCCCATGGACGATAGAAGACCACCAGGTCTTCTATAGACGATAGAAGACCACCAGGTCTTTTTTGGGCGATAGAAGACCACCAGGTCTTCTATGGGCGATAGAAGACCACCAGGTCTTCTACGATAGAATAACTCCAGGTCTTTTATGTACGATAGAACACCTCCAAGGCTTCTATGGACGATAGAAGACCTCCATATCTACTAATGGCGGTAGAAGACCTCCAAGTCTACTTTGGACGATAGAAGACCTCCAGCTCTTCTAAGGACAATAGAAGACCACCAGGTCTTCTATGGACGATGAAAGACCATCAGGTCTACTAGAGGCGATAGAAAACCATCAGGTCTTCTAGGGGCGATAGAAGACCATCAGGTCCTCTATGGGCGATAGAAGACCATCAGGTCCTCTATGGGCGATAGAAGACCATCAGGTCCTCTATGGGCGATAGAAAACCACCAGGTCTTCTATGGACGATCGAAGACCACCAGGTTTTCTATGGACGATAGAAGAAGAACCAGGTCTTCTATGGACAATAGAAGAAGAACCCGGTCTTCTATGGACGATAGAAGAAGAACCAGGTCTTCTATGGGCGATAGAAGACCACCAGATCTTCTATGGGCGATAGAAGACCATTAGGTCCTCTATGGGCGATAGAACACCATCAGGTCCTCTATGGGACCTGAAGACCATCAGGTCTTCTATGGGCGATAGAAGACCTCCAAGTCTTCTATGGACTATAGAAGACCTCTACATCTTCTGTGGACTATAGAAGACCTCTAAATCTTCTGTGGATGATCGAAGACCTCCAGATCTTCTATGGACGATAGAAGACCATTAGGTCCTCTATGGGCGATAGAAGACCATCAGGTCCTCTATGGGCGATAGAACACCATCAGGTCCTCTATGGGCGATAGAAGACCATCAGGTCGTCTATGGGCGATAGAATACCTCCAGGTCTTTTATGGGCGATAGAAGACCTCCAGCAATTTTATGGGCGATAGAGGACCTCCAAGTCTTCTATGTGCGATAGAAGACCTTCAAGACTTCTATAGACGATAGAAGGCCTCCTGGGCGATATAAGACCTCCAGTCTTCTATAGGCAATAGAAGACCTCAGGCTCTTCTATGTACATTAGAAGACCTCAGGCTCTTCTATGTACATTAGAAGACCTCCAGCTCTTCTATGGGCAATAGAGGATCTCCAGCTCTTCTATGTGCATTAGAAGACCTCCAGCGCTCCTGTGGGCAATATAAGACCTCCAGCGCTCCTGTAGGCAATATAAGACCTACTGCTCTCCTATAGGCAATAGAAGACCTACTTCTCTCCTACAGGCAATATTAGACCTACAGCTCTCCTATAGACAATATAAGACCTCCAGGTCTGCTATATGTAATAGAAGACAACCAGCTCTTCTATAGACAATAGAAGACCTACGGCTCTTCTATTTTCTAATTTTGAAATCATAATCCTATTCACAACCTCACCTCAATTATTAAATATTTTTTTCTAATTCGTTTTTTTTTTTCGTCTGTGCTTGTTTATATGTTCTTTAATATTTCATCTCATTGGGTGCTCAGAGGTGCTACAGATTTACGGTGTGACATCTAATTGTTGTTTTTTTGTTTTTTCGTTTTTTCGATCTACATCTGCATTTTGTACTTACTGTTGATCCTTTGCGATCGGAACATCCACCCAAACATGTTGTCGACTTATGGTGTTGTGGATGGCCACTATGAGGGGTATGAGGGCCACCCGATGATGGTGGTCGATATGTAACACTGTGCAATACTTCCTTACTATCTTTACCCGAATCTGGCGTAACAGTGGTCTCCTCGTCATACTGATTCCGATGACGAACGTTAACGAGCGTATTTTTTGTGTGTGTTTTTGGTTTTTTTTTAAATTTTTTAGGTAGATTTGATTCGAGTTGAGGAGTGGTAGAAGTAGTTGTTGTAAGTAGTAGGAGGTTAGTATTAACGAATGGGCGATCGAATGATAGTTTTTTGTTGTTTGTTTGTTTTTTTTTTTAGTTTTAAATACAAAATATGAAGAAATGACAGAATATATTATGAGAAGAGATACGTTTGGGGTTTTTTCGATTTTATTTCACAAAATCAGAGATTATTTTGAGGTAAGGTATGTGAACTAGAGGATGAATGAAAGCTATTAGACTAAAACAGTGCTAAGAAGAAGAAAAAACAAGCCGAGTAACTGTTTGCAATTGCCAAACTTTAAATGTATAAAAAAAAAACTAGCATAAACAGGTATAACAAAACGTGCAGGAAAGAAAATTGTGAAACAGAAATTCGGAAAATATAAAGCAATGGTTCAAAGAGAAACATAAAATAAATCAAAAATCAAAATTTCGAAAAGGAGTCCTGGCTAGAAGCCAAAAGGCTATTCTTAATTACTCCCTAGAAAGTTAAAGTTAAACTTTCCCTATAAAATTAATGCTTTTTATACCCTTTCGACATTTTTACCAAGCAACGAGAATTTTTGGCGCCCAATTGTGAAATAAAAAAAGTTGATCAAGGAAAAAATTTTCAAATGAAAAATTTTATATTTTTTAAAATTATAAAATTATAATTTTATATAAGAGTCCATACCCTTGTCTCATGATTTTATATTTTTATTGTTTCTATTGTATTTTGAAACAATAACAAAGGAAAAACGTAATTTTGTGGAAAGCATCCACATCCACATCCCTCAAATCATAACTCATTTCTTTAAGTTTTTAATAATTCTTCCTCTCCTAAAACTTGTTTAATTTTCATTTTTGTCATCCACGTTTCCTTGGCCTGATAAACTCTCATTAACCTCTCACACATATACACACACATCCATAATTGCACTCAATTTTATTCAACCTATTTTATCATAAATCAATTTGTCAACAAATATTGCCAAACCTTTTCGAACCGTGAACCAAATCCATAATATATTATGAATAGATTATTATGGACCTAAATATATATGTGTGTGTATGTATTCATATACATGTGTGTGCGTGTGTGTACCACACTTTAGCCACATGATAAATGAGCCCATTAAAATGCATTCGATTGACAGGTTATCAATGGGCAAATTTCAAACAATATAATTTCATTAAAATCTACTTTTGATGGAATCATTTTCATGGAATTCATTGCGGGTTGAATGGCAAACATGGTATTAAAAACTAAATTTAATTCAAATTTAAATTTAGTTTGCTACAAAAAAAAAAAAAAAAAAAAAATGCCAGATGACAAGCACCTGTAGAATTGTGCAATTCTGAAAATTAAAAAAAAAAAATGCAAGTTAGAATTTTTGGAAATTAGAAATCTATTTTTTCGGGGAAATTCTGATGTTATTGTGGAGATGAGGCAAAACCATTCAGGAAAAGCCTAGTGGATTTCCTGCGAAACTTTGATTTTTTCAGAATCTGTGAAAAGTAATTAATTGACATATGCATCAAATATAGAGTCTATGACCATGTTTTCCAACCTCTTATGGCAGGGGCCAGTAAATTATTTTATAGAACTTTGCGTCTATAAGACTGTGCGACAAAATGAATTTTTTTCCAATAACTACAAGGAAAATGCAGCAGATTATGAAAGTAGAACTAAAAAAGAAGACACCAACATCGTGGTATTGAAAGCTTGTAACGCAAAGTAACCTAACTATAAGTTCCCCCCTCCCCAACACTTTTGGAAATTTTCGGATTAAGATTCCTCGGAATCCATGCATTTTAGGCATATTGATTTCAAAATATGCTACAGAATTATTTGTCATAAAAAGAAGCGACTTGATCGAAACCCCGCGTCGCAGTGGCCGAAAAGTGGCTCGTGAGCTGAACATATCGCAATATTCCACTCGGCAAATTTTGAAAAATTAGCTCGGGGTAAGCCATTGAAATTCCAAAAAGTGCAAGAACTTACACCGCTACAGAAAGAAAATAGACTCAAAAGAGCTAAAGAGATGCATCGCTTGGCCAAAAGTGGTGAGCTGCCGAATTTGGTTTTCTACGATGAGAAAACATTAGTTGTCCAGCAGTTTGTAAATGTGCACCTTCGGTTGGCCACCAGACATCAGAACTCAAACGCCGGCCATGGTGATGGTGTGGGCCGCCATAACAGGCGATGATTGCTCTTCGCTCGTATTAATCGACCGTGGCATCAGAATAAATGAAGAATATTATGGCGGAAATATTCTGGAGGGTGTACTAAAGCCATGGGCACGCAAACATTTTTACCGCAGACCTTGGACATTCCAACAGGCCTCAGCACCATCGCACTCAGCACGCGCCACCCAAGAATGGTTACAAAATGTGGTTCCTCGCTTCATTTTCAGCACACAATGGCCACCAAAATCTGTGGATACCCATCTGTTGGACTATTCTGTCTGGAGTCTTTTGGAAAGCAAGGCTGGCACTAAAAAATACTAAAGTGTCGATCTCCTCAAGCAAGCGCTTCGCCGGGAATGAACCAAAATACCACAGTGCAACATTCGGGCAGCGTGTGATGGTTTCATTGGCCGTTTAAGGGCCATAATTCGTGCCAAAGGTGACTAATTCGAATAAATCTAAATTTATTCTAAATTTTGATACTATTTCCGACATTTTTTGTTTTCATTCAATAAAATTTTAAACAAAGCAAGTAAAAAAAACATTAAGTTCGGCCGGGCCAAACTTTTAATACCCTCCACCTTAGGATAAAGGAAACATTAGAGCCCATTATGACCCACATATACCAATTTTTAGACAAATTCATAGGAAAATGTTCCAAAAATCATCAAAATACCGAATATCGGAAAATACGGCTATACAGTGTTTCGCCAAAAGAGCTAGAACCCACTAAGACCAACTAATACCAATTTCTAGACAAATACGCAAAGAAATGTGTCAAAAAAACATTAAATTGCCGAATATCGGGAGGTACCGTTATATGGGGGCTATACCAAATCGTGGACCTATACATGCAATGTCTCGCCAAAGGAGCTAGAACCCATTATGACCTGCAACTACCAATTTTCAGAGATATTCGTGATAAAATGTGTCAAAAATCATCAAAATACTGAATATCGGGAGGTTCCGTTGTATGGGGACTATACCAAAACGTGAACCTATACATACAATGTTTCGCCACACAAACTAGCATCCATTATGACCTACAAATACCAATTTTTAGACAAAACAGTAAAAAAATGTGGCAAAAACTATCAAAATACCGAATTTCGGGAGGTACCGTTATATTGGGGCTATACCAAATCTTGGACCCATACATGCAATGTTTCGCCACCGGAGCTGGAATCCATTATGACCAACAAATAACAATTTTTAGACAAATCCGTGAAAAAATGTGGCAAAAAAATTAAAATACCGAATATCGGGAGGTACCGTTATATGAGGGCTACACCAAAGCGTGTATCTATACATGCAATGTCTCGCCATACAAATTGGGACCCGTTATGACTTACAAATACCAATTTTCAGACAAATCCGTGAAAAAATGTGGCAAAAATCATCAAAATACCGAATATCGGGAGGTACCGTTATATGGGGGCTATACTATACTCGTGCATGCAATGTTTCGCCACCGGAGCTGGAACCTATTATGACCAACAAATACCAGGTTTTAGACAAATCAGTGAAAAAATGTGGCATAAATCATCAAAATACCGGATATCGGGAGGTACCGTTATATGGGGACTATACCAAAACGTGGACCGATATATCTCATTTTCAATAGCATCCATCCTAGACACAATACAAATTGCTCTGCTTAATTTTGGCGCTCTACGTCAAATAATGTGGGCTGTACCGTGATTTCAACAGACAGACAGACAGACAGACGGACATCGTTAAATCGACTTAGAATTTTATGCTGACAAGTTAAGTGACAAAGTTAATATACCCTCCTTTTCAAGGTGGAGGGTATAAAAATGTAAAGATTATGGCGTTTGACTTTGTTGCAGTTTTTTATTTCACCCTGTATATCCTTAGCCGATTTCGGGTTAATTATGCACAAAATAGCTAATATCAGTCCAAATGACCTGAATTTCGGAAATTCCGACAGAATTTATCCTTGAAATTAGTACTTCAAATTTGGTAGATTTGGAATGAAAAATGTTCACCCCAAAAATGTATTTATTTCGCAATGATGTACCCACTGTGCCACCTATTTGTTTATTATGTCGTCATACAAAAAAAAAGCTATTATTCTATCACTAATTACTTAATGTAACTCTAACTAAATATTCATGCCATTAAAAATCTAAAATGCTAAACTATGATTCAATTAAAAATGTTCTAAAATTAAAATAACAACATTACTAAATTAAATTACATTTTAATTATAAAAATTAGAATTTATTAAAATGTTGAATTCTGTTTAAAAATAAAAAGAAAAAACTTAAACGTATGCAGTGACACCGGAAAATCACATATAAAATTAACTGGTATACACGTGAGTGTGTGTGTGTGTGCAGTATTCAAATGTGTGTCAGTGTATATGTATGTGTCTGTGCTAAAGTGTTTGTGTGTACTTTTCCTCGTAATTCAATTACAATGTTTTTCCATTACAATTTGACACATTGATGTCGACAATGGAGATAACAACAAAAACATTATCAACGACAACAGAAACAATAAAGGCGAATGGAAACCAAAAACAACAAAATGGTAAAAAATCCGCAATACATATTCACACTGAAACGAATCAACAGCAACAACAATAAACACTCTCAAACCACAATGAAAATAAAAGATCATCGCGTGAACCATTTTTAGAAGAACAACAAAAATTTTAAAATAAAATCAAAGAAAAGTCCTTGTGACAAAATTGACACATAAACGCATTCCTA